GAGAGAGAGAGAGAGAGAGAGAGAGAGAGAAAGAGAGAGAGAGAGTGGTTGTTGTTTTTTCCCCTTAAAGATAGTCTGGTTTTCTCGTTCACACTCTATTTGTCCTTCTTTCCATCCCCTCCTCAGCTGGGACCATGGCCGTATTCCTCCCCCGCCGATGTACCCTCAAACTGCTTGCCTTCACCGCCGCCTTCAGCTTCCTCTCCTTCCTCGTGGCCCTCCGCACAGCCTTCCACGTGGAGTCCTCGCAGCAACAGCAACAACAACAGGCCGACCTAACCCCGCTCGGAGACGCCGTATTACTTACAGACCTGCTCAGGGCCGAGAGCCCGCACCGCGGCAAGGTCAAGGACGTGTTCCGCACGTGCGCCAATGAGCTGACCTTCCAGGGGCGGGTGGACGAGAACAAGACAGACGTCCTCCTCAACTGTTTCCTAGGCGCCCTCAAGTCGGCTCAGTACAGCCAGACGGTGCCCGCTCTCCCTGACCCCGTGAGAGAGTTCCTCTCCCTCCCCATCGTCAACCCGCACAACCCCGACTTCCTCATAGACTCCTCCGGCGCATGCGCCCAGCGCGCCGTGGAGACGCTGTTTGTGTCGCCTTCCGCCCCCGAGTATTTTGAGCGCCGGCAAGCGGTGCGAAGCAGCAACAGGGGGCTGTACGTGAAAGACAAGCACAACAACGCAGCGCTTTTGTTTTTCGTCGGCCTCCCTTCCGAGGACCCGACGGGTAAAGTTTTGGAGGAGATCAGGACGGAATCCACGACCTACGGCGACATCGTGCTGGTGAGGTTTGAAGATAAGTACAAGAACATCTTACAGAAAGCGCTAGCCATGCTGCGCTGGGCGATCGACTTCTGCCCGAACGCTGAACACGTCATCCGCACGGACGATGACGTGAACGTGACGGTCACCGACCTCATCTCGGTCATGCGGCGCGTTCACAAGCAGAACGCCAACTTCGTGATCGGCAAGCGGATGGTGAACGACGTGCCCGCGCGCTCCAACAACAAGTGGCACCTGTCGGAAGAGGAGTACCCGGAGACCACCTTCCCGCCCTACGTCCTGGGCGGCCTGATCGGCTACCCGCTGACCACTGTCCGGCTGCTGTACGAGGCCACGCTCCGCCTCAAGTCTATCTGGCTGGATGACGTGTACGTGACGGGTCTGTGCGCCAGGAAGCTCAACATTCCGGTGCTGGAGGACGAGAGGTTTGTGTTCCAGCACCAGCTCAAGAAGGGAGACTTTGAGGAGCAGACGTAGCCGGGGTCTGTCCGTCGTCGCGGGGACTTTGGCCGGTGATACAATGTCGTCGCGGGGACTTTGGTCGGTGATACAATGTCGTCGCGGGGACTTTGGTCGGTGATACAACGTGG